CTGAGATGTTTTCAGAAAAAGGGAAGAATAAATTAAATTAACTCACATCCTCTAAAATCAAACCATAAACAATTTTTAACATGAAAAACCATTCTAGTGACCCTCCAGAACCGACCTTGCGTATCCCTGATTTATAAGACCATATTTTTAGTGTTTCTATTATATGGTGTTCTCAATTTTTAAAACATTATCTAATATCTAAATCAAAATGTAATAGCCATCTGTAAAAAGTCAGTTTTTCATAAAAAAGTACAATATTTGCATCTGAGATGAAGTGGAGTTGAATAAAAATCTAAAGTACTTCAAATCTATATTTAAATACAGAGTAAATGTATTTTGTTACATTCCACCACTAGTTATTTGGAAAAAGAAACTAACAAAATGTATTGTCACAATATTAACAAATCGTTGCTAACTACAGCTGCGTCCCAATGACAGTTGCCATTGACGAGCGGGAGTAACAATTGTACTGAACTTTTATAAGTTATATTTGACTGCCTAAAAACAAAACACCCTAAAACCATCTGAATATGTTCTCCATGGTCAATTTATGTACATGAAAAAGACAATAAACTTTATAAAATCACATATTGGTTGTATATAATTCAACATCTGAAGCAATCGGCTATACCATCCCATTTAACAAGTCTCAGTGCGTCCTTTAAAGGCCGCGCAGCCCCTGAATTGGGACACAGCAATGGCCATGCATTTCCACTACTACTTTGCAAAGTATTGCCAGTCTATCACTGCTTTACTGAGCGTTTTTCATTGCTTGTTCAATGTCTACTTGTTATGACCATTGTGCTTGCCTTATTGGATTACTGTTTTTGCTCTGTTTGCCTGGTTGGACTGATGATTTATCTCTGTTTACCCTGCCTGCCTTATCGACTACGTCTCTGTCTAGTCAGTGTATTGGATTCGTTGGCTGAGATTAATAAAAATTGCAGTATTTGGATTCTATTTTGCCTCCATGTGAAGTCCCTCACAACAGTCTCATTCAGTTTGTTGTTTTTTTTACTTCAGAAGTGCCTTTTGCATCATCAACCCGGAACTACAGTTCAATTCAGTTTGATTTTGTGAACTGGCTCGATCGGTTCCCAACGAATCGGCTCAAAAAATATCCTCGATATACATATATAATTACAAAATAAAAATACAGTATATAATATAATAGACCTTCACAGCATTGTGACATTGTGACTACATATGAAGAGTTCAGATGCAAAAGCCTCTAAATGCCATCTGAAATTTTCTTCTAAAATGATCATTTTTATCAAGCTCGTATATTTAAATTCAGTAATTGTTCTTGCCATTTAAGTGAAATTATTGAACTTAAATATACGAGCTTGATAAAAATGATAATTTTAGAAGAAAATTTCAGATGGCATTTAGAGGCTTTTGCATCTGAACTCTTCATATAGACTTTTCAAATATTGTGTTAACAACTATCAATGCAGTACTGTAGAGTTGCTTTCTGTATCATGACTTTTAGAACAATTTGATCTAGAACTAAAAAATATCTAAAACAAGAAGTTATAAAAGTCTAATCAAACCAAACAAGGTCTCATTTCTGAAATGACTTATCTGAAATGAAATCTGACTATATACTCTTTGTACAGTGTTGTAAACTGATTTAGAAGGCTTTCATAAATATATATCTGCACATTACTCGCATAACTTAAAAAGGTCACCTAATTCCCATAATCAAAGAACATTCTTTGAACTCACAAAACCAGCTACACAAAACCAAACTATTCCAGCCTTAGGTCTTGTTCTTATTTTGTTTTTTGTTTTACATACATGATTCTGTAAATGTCCCTTAAGAGAAGATAAATATATCCTATAAATATGCAATATTAAATGTCGAGGGGTGTAACAAATTACTGAAACTATACTTAAGTAAAAGCATCCGTATTGTGATAAAATCTTTACATAATTAAAAGTCGAAGCAGCTAACCAAAAACAGACACGTGTGAAAGTAAAATGTAACATTTAATTGTACTTAATTGTAAAAGTATTCAAAAGTGGGAAAAAATTACTTCAATAGAATCAAATAGAATTTCCCAAAGTATGATGCACTCGTCAATTTCCTCAATGTCCTAACCACCTCTGAAACCAATATCCTGAATTGTGAATTTGTTCAATTCTGAAACATTGGTTCTTTTTTATATATTCTCTGACGCTTGAACATAACTGCTTAATGCCTGATCACCAATCGTGTTTTAATCAAGTCCTTCTTTAAAAGTTATTAAAACTTGTTGTTTTGGGTTAAATCAATTGTGGTGACTCAAGAGACATATCATTATAGGGTGAATGGAGTTACGAGAGCAAATAACATTTCACATTTGAATTGATTTTATTAGTTAAAGAACATGATTTTACATTTACCTCATTAAGACAGACACAAAATAGTGTATAAACTCTTAGTAATAAATTATAGATTAGTAGATATGATACAACTCTGCTTCCCGAGATCAACTTTCCTGCAGTGATTTCTCAACTTTACAAATGCGCATGACGAAAAATGTAAGTATTTAGTTTCACCAGGGATGTAGAGTTTTTGCACAAAAAAAAAGATATTTTAAAGTTTGTGGTTTGTGTTAAGTTATGAATTATGCATTGACTGAGTGTGAACAAAGACCAGTACTGTGTGAGAAAGGTAAAGGATGCAGAAGGGCAAGTAGGACAGGTTTCTGTCATCTCTTAAATGCCAAAGTTGTTGAAATACCAGCAACAAATTTCCTTCTATTGAAATCATATATGATAGTATGTGAAAGTTATGTGAACCCCCTCCCCCATACAGTACAGTACAGTACAGTACAGTATAAATACTGACAATAACTGTGGATATCATTTGTTCCAAAGACCGCAGGAAGGAATTTAGAAGCATCGGGTTTTTTGTTGGACATTTTGGTAAGATTAATTTCCTCATAACAAATCAGAGCCAATACTGCTTAATCAATATTAATGATGTCTTACAAGTTATGTCAAAAGATATTGCTATTGGTGTCACAGTTGTTTGCAGTGTTTAAGATTCTTTATTTATCTTTTCTTTTCTTTTTTTACTTTAGAGAACACTTTGTGACCTACAACAAAAAGGATGGGGAAACCCGTCACATTATATGTTGTAACACTGCTGTTTCTTCATGCCAGTAAGTCAGAAATATTCATTTTATAAATGTTATAAATGCAGTCCATTTACCATTTTTTACCATTTAAATAAAATGTAAATATATATATATATATTTAAATCTCACAGGTGAATAATAAAATCAATAAAAAATTAATGATGACGAGATTGTTGAAAATATGTATAGGCTAATATTCATAAAATATTCTCTTTATAATGTAACGCAGAAAATTACATTTGTTGTTAAGAAGTTTGATTTTAAAATTGAATTGTTCATTTGTCAATCATTATGCACTTTTAATAAGAATGTTCTGAAACAAAATTGTCTGTTCTCCTGCAGGTGAATTGACTACAGCACAAGGTAATGACAATATAGTAATTAGTGGTACTTGTAAAGCAAATAATCATTACTTCTTCTTCTTCTTCTTCTTCCAAATTTTGGTATCAAACCAGTCCCACACTGTTTTTTTTTATACACACATGAATAAGGTCTCAAATGGTTTGGCTTATTGAAGCAAACATATTTCTATACATTATACCAGAGGTCTTCAACCCTGCTCCTTGGGTCCCACTGTGCAGCAAAGTTTATTTCCAACTTGCTTTACCACTTATGCATGTGTATTTTCAAGCGATCATGAAGACCTTGATTAGCTTGTTTCAGTTGTGTTTGATTAGGGTTAAAGCTAAACTCTGCAGGGCAATGGGTCCCCATGAGCAGGGTTGAAGACCTCTGCACTATACACTATTCACTTATACACTATGTAGTCATCTATGCAGTGTATGAATGTTATAAGGTTATTTTTTCATTCAACATCGGAGTCCTGTAGCTCTTCCCCCTCCACTACGTAATTGAAGCTGCAACAGTTGAGTGCATGAAGTGTCCAATATTCCACACCGATATTTATTTTTCGGTTAATTAAGTACATCATCCTAGCATTTAAAGTGTAGTTTTTTCTATTTTTACTGTGAACACTCTACTTGCACTATTATACTACAAAACATCATAGAATAGTTCATAAGTATGGAATCGGGACGCATCTATAGAGTTAACATTGAAAAGAGATCTAAGAGATCATGTTTCTAGATAAGAATTTCCTTGAAGTCTGGACTTGTCTGGCTCATGTCTCAATTGTGCTCACAGTATTCACACAGACAGGCCCTTGTAAGTTTGGTGGTTTGGGTATAGTCATTCCCAAATTGTCAACAATATGACACTATAATTCCAAAAACAGAGCCTATAAAAGAGATATTTTTCTGAACATTTTACAATTAGTTTGATACCATAATGTCATAAACATAAATTGTTTAATTGATTTATAGGGCTAACAAATATATATATACACAGTACATATCATATATTTTGTTTAATTAAGCCTTGTGCTATGCAAAGGGAATTCGTTTTTATGTACGAGTTGGTTCGGGCTCAAAACATGAAATGTGCAGATAGTTTAATGGGTATGAAACCTAACGTCTAACGAATGTCAAACGTTAAACTAACTTTACCGCCATAGATTTTCGCTGGTTTCAAAACATACACCACGCTAGCTTCTTTTTGCAACCTCTCTCTCACTTTTGCTCAAGTGCCAGCGATTAACCGTCAGCGTGCCAGTGGTGCCAAATGTTGCCGACCCCAGCACTATACTAACTTTCCACAATGCGATTTACCTCTAGTTTTGTTTTCTTCCATCTGCACTCCTTTTTCCAGGACCCACTGCTATGTACATTCTGTCTCTCTTATCTGACTTACTGATTTCAGTTCATGGAGATCTTTCCTAGAGCTGATGATCTGAATGTTAAAAAAGAGGAGTACCATTTGCGAGCTTATGTTCCTGTAAAAGAACATTGACGCATATACTTTTCCTTTTGCCAGCTAATTTCCTGCCGTTTGGGGATGGAGACGTAGTAAACCCCATTTTGGATGATGGAAGCTCTGAAGCCATTTTCTTGCAGCAGCCCTTCAAATACTTTGGACGCGTATACAATCAGATCTATGTAAGCATTGGGCTTTTTCTTATTGGTAAAGATGTTTTTCCATTTATTACATCAATTACTTATGCAGCAATCATTTTAGTCAAATTCTTTTCAGTCAAGAGAGTTTTCTCCTGTTTAAGTGTACAACTGGATGTTTTTAAAAGTGCCCCTATTATGCTATTTCAACGCATTCTCATCCTTTGGCGTCATATAGGTCACCTATATGACATTTATGGCGTCACGCCATATGACATTTCGTCGAAATCTTACGCACATGGCATCCTTTAGCGTCAATATAACACGCACTGTTATGGGTAGGTTTAGGTCTGGCGTAGGGTACGGTTATGACGCCTTGGGATCTGCGTCTCATATTCATGCTAAACGATGCCATGTGCGTTGGATTTAGACGAGCGTCACCTGTATGACGCCTTGGGTTCTGCGTCTCATATTGATGCTAAAGAATGCCATGTGCGTAAGATTTCAACGAAATGTACAAAGCCTCACATGTATGACGCTGTAGAGTATTCAGCCCGGTTCAGGTTTGGGGAAAATGTGCAATAACTTTTGATTTGTAATCAGCAATTATTGGACACGAGTGTGAACCAGAATACTATGCATAAAAATCACCCAAAAAGGGATTATATTGCTCACGTGTCTGCTTCAAATATATATAGGTAATTAATACAACGAATTGTAATTAAGAATATATCTCATCTGCAAACGGCTATATTAATTTTAAGAACACCTTAGAATTAACCGCACCTCACCAGTCAGTTCGTCCGCCGAACTGCTTGTTTGATTATCAATTCTCAAAAAGGTTTATCCTTAGCATAAGTTTACTAATCAAATTAGTTTACTTAACAATATCAGCTCGTAGCTTTAAGATCGCACATTAAAGAGGCTTTGTTCCGTGACCAACAAACAGAGACAATCGAGAGTATAATGAGGTTTAATAAAATTGAACTAGAAAACACAACTACATTTAACAATGAACATATGAGATAACGAAAGTAAAACAGGAAGAAAGAAAAAAACAGCAGACAGGAAACAAAGATGGTTATCACAGCTGAACCTTAAGAGCCAACAGGGAAAATTACACACTTTAACGCGTTTGAACTTGGATCAAATACTATACTTGCAAAAATGGACCTTTGTGTGGCTGGGCAAGCAGGCGCGTGCGGAGTGTGGATGTCCGGTGACCGCGTGAGTTGAAGGCGTTCCTTTCGTTTTCCAGGAGAGTGCTTTGCTCGCGGGAAATTCGAAACGGCTTAAAGTTATGCTGTCGAGGAGTCCTTTCACCCGAAGGATATAGGACTTAATCAAAACGTAAAATGCTGAGTTCAGTCTGACGACAAGAACTTGAGCATCAAAGAAAAGACTGAGTTAAACGCAAAATAAAACAAAGTACAAACTAAGACGACTAAGTCGCAGATAATACACAGGAAAAGTAAAACGAAGAAGAGGGTACCACGATAAAGAAGAGAGAGAGTGAGTGACCCGGTTCGTGATCCTTTAAAGGGAAGTTCACGCCCAGGCTGTGGAAGAACAGGCCAATGGTCACTCACTGATTTTTAGCGCCCTTTTCTTTCTTTGTCTTGTCAGTTTCGGATTTATGACAGGGTACGAATACGATCAGAAACATTACAGAGATGGAAAAACATAGCAGAGTACATTTTAACGGAACCTCGTTTATATGGTTAATTAGGTCAAATCGGGAGCTTTCATTTGCTATCATGAAAGACGTGTTTGACACACATACAAGTGGATATATGTTTTTAGGCTCTTTATATATGCCTTTAGATTTTTACCTACACAACTAACAATCTTAACGATCATGGTACAATAGCAGGAATCACAAGAATACAGGAATACATCATATTTCTCTTCGAATCACTCATTTCTCGGGGTTTTAACGTAAGGAATGTCTCGGCGTCTGTCCATATGTGTGTGCGTGCTTGGATACGTGGGTGCGAGCGTCCATGTGTGTGTGTGTGTTTTTTTTATTTATTTCACACATCTGGCTTCGTTCTCTCCGCAGAGAGGGGTGTTACATGATAGCTTATCTGTTTGAAAAACCAGGAACGAAATTTTATGGCTATTTGTATTATAAACAATCTCACACCATAAAGGTGTCAATAGGGCTTTTAGCCCAGACTCGTGGTCGCCAATGGTTGATTTGCATCGTGTGAAACACGGGGTGTTGACTTTGTGGACCCTGTTCGGAATGTATGCATGTCATATCGGAATTAATGAACTCATGAGACAAACTCAAATAGGGGAGAGCGGGGTAATGTGAGACACCCCCTGTATCTAGTCAACGGAACACATTTGTGGTCATGTGACCATTATGTTTTCAAGCCCATCCCATTTCCCCTTGGCCATGAAGGAGAGGACCTCATGATGCTGTGATAAGCATGTTTTTTTTCACAAAAATATTGTTTTTGCATGTAAAAGTAAATTTTCTTGCTGTCAACTTAATCAACTGTTGTGCCAAAGCAAATTGATTCAGGTAGAAAAACTTATATCATACATGTTGATGAACTATTAACATATAAAACCATGTGATGATGCTAGCTGAAGAGTATCCTGAATTACTAAGAGAGATTGTTTTTTTCTAAAATGTGGCAGTGGGGTAAAGTGAGACAAATGCTGTGGGGTAAAGTGAGACATGAGGCACAAGTTAAGTTTAGTCTTAAACATATTTTAATGTAATATTACATTACATATGTTTTATTTTTTAATGTCATAAACATTGTAGAAAAGCCATCATGCCAAGGTAATACACCAGGAAGACAACCTGGGGAAAAACACCCCTCGAGGAGATGGAGAGTGCAGCCGCTGAGGTCAAGGAAGGAAAGAAGTCTATAAGAGCAGCTGCAAGGGATAGAAATATTGACAAGCCTGACAAGATATTGACAAGATATTGTCAATAAAATGTGGAATATTGAAGCCAAAATTTTAAAAACGCAGTGCAGATACACAGCAGACACAGATGAACGGCTAGTGCGGTCATTGTATGTGCTGCGGCAACTGCACAAACCTATGGCGAGGCGGCTCAGACGCAAGAACCAATAAGGCTGCTTCGCGCCCTGGCGTGTCAGAGCCCTCCAGAATGGGTGTGGCCGAAGCCTTTACATTGGCCACTTCAGCCAAAGGTAGTCGACTGAAGCGATCCCCTGATCAAAGCCACATACACTTTGAACGTGGAGGGGGTACAACCCGCGTCCAAACGCCCTTGTAAGAAGGCGAGTATACTCAATACTTTGCACAAATAGGGGTCCAGGCTCCGTGCAGCGCACCAGCCAGAAAATACCACCCATTTCTGAGCGTAGAGGCGTCTAGTTGACGGCGCTCTTGCCTCAGTGATCGTTTTCAGCACCCTTTCCCGGGAGACACCCGGGTATCCGTTGAGGGGCCATACATAAAGGGCCCACAAGTCGGGACGGGGACGGCAGATTAATCGGTTTGGCTGCGTGAGGAGGTCTCTCCTCAGCCGAACCGGCCATGGGGCTGTTTCCAGCAGCTGTACCAGCACAGAGAACCATGACTGGGTCTTCCAGAGAGGTGCTATTAGTAGCATTGCGCACTTGCTCTCCCTGATCCGTTCGATGACCTGTGGTAACATCGTGACCGGAGGAAATGCATACAGCGGGCGGCTCGGCCAATCGTGGGCAAGCACGATTGAGAAAAATATTCGGCAATGAGCGTTGTCTTCTGAGGCGAAGAGGTCGACCTCTGCCTCGCCGAAGATGCTAAATATTAGCTGAACCGTCTGTGGGTGAAGAGACCATTCCCCTGGGGGAACATTGTCTCTGGATAACATATCCGCACCTTGGTTCAGGATGCCTGGCACATGCGCCGCCCTTAGGGAGCGCAGGTTGTGCTGAGCCCATAAGATGAGGTTTTTGGCCATGGCATGCAGGTTGTTTGACCTGAGACAGCCCTAGCGATTTATATAGGACACCACTGCAATGTTGTCCGTCCGGACCAGGATGTGGTGGCCTTTTAAGTACGGGAGAAAGGCTTTCAGCGATAGAGCGACTGCTCTCATCTCTAGACAGTTTATATGTAGGTGCTTCTCCAGGCTTGACCATAGACCAGAGACGAGCCGGCCCTTGTAAAGGGTCCCCCAACCTAGGTTGGAGGCATTTGTCGAGATCACTTTTCTCCTTGTAACCACACCCATACTCACTCCTGACTGATACCAGTCGTTTGCTTTCCAGGGAGCCAGGGCCCTGATAAAAAGTAAGTGGATCAGTTTACCCCCCGCTGGTTCACTTTACCCCCTTGATTTCTCTGGTCTGTCTCAGTTTACCCCTTAGCTGGGGTAAAGTGAGACACAAGACCACTTTTTAAAAAACAATCATATTTTCACTGCCCTTCGTCCTGAATACATTCTGATAATTTCCATTGCTAGGAAACATCCTGAATTAATGGGAAATGTGTACATTTTACTGATATATCATTTTAGCTCGCTTAGAGGAGAGCAAATGTAAAAAATGTCTCACTTTACCCCACTCTCCCCTACTCTACAACTCCAAAGGATGGGAACGGGCTGGCTATTTTAAAGGCTCTCATAATATACATTGCACATCACCACATTTTTCAATGATTCTCAGACGACTCGATGGATGAATCAGTCTCTCCAAATCCCTCCTTTCCGAGAGTCTACTCTTCTCTGATTGGCCAGATAGCCCAGTCTGTTGTGATTAATCTACTGCGTACAGCGCCTGTCGGAAGCTTCACGCCCATTACTATAACTGAACTTCAGCTCTGTCCGGAGGCTTCCTAAAGCCCAGCGATTAAACTGTAAAGACAGTAACGACAACGTTGATTTTACCATATTAATCTGAGTGAATGACTATATATTTAATGTTTGTACAACAAATCTTGCTCCATTCTTTATCTTTACTCAAAGTAGTAAGAATGACAGACAATCTGCATTAATAGACAGTTTTAGGTAATAGTAGCTTATAGCTGCTTAGCAGAACTTCTTATTTCAATAAGACAGTAATACAGTGAGTTAGCCGGTTAGCCAGAAACGTACACAATATAAAACAAAAAACGAAGTATTTTGAACACATAGAAAATTGATTCTGAGGAGCAAGCTGGTCCGAATAAACTAGGTACTGATCCATCTTTCAAGAACGAGAGTTTTGCAAATCCAACGTTGTACTCCGAGATTTGAGAAACAGTTGTCAGTAAAATTACATGTTTGAGGGCTGGTCAAGTTGTTTGCAGGCGGACAACGTACAACATAGGCGGGCATTGTGCAAATGTATCTTCTAGTGACGTAGAACCGTAAAGCAGTAGGATTCGAACGAAAAACGACTCTTAAAGGCGGTTCAGAGTCGATTCTTTCTTTTGGGAGACAATAAATTTATTTATCATGCACTTTTGACTTAACAACTTTGCAGAACGTTTACATTCAGAAACAGCTTTATTATTTACACACTCCATTAAAGGGAATATTCGAAAAACCATAATAGGGGCATTGATACTATTAAATGGTTGCAGATAATTCTACAGCAATTTGATCTGAATTTTAGGTGAACAACAATGGTCACTTGACATTTACTCAACCACTATCTGTCTACGTCCCTTATCTGAACGCTGGAATAGACATCATTGCTCCTCTATGGACTGACCTTAACAATGTAAATGGTGGAACAATCTCCTATAGAGAGGATACAAGCAGTGCTGTACTGGCACAAGTCACTGAAGCTGTTCACCAATATTTCCCTAACGTGCCTTTTACCGCTTCATCAGCCTTTGTGGCTACCTGGGAAAGTGTGCCGTACTACACGGGTGGAGGGGTAAGACCTAATTTCTGATTTTTGATGAATGCTCTGTGTGTTTTTTGGTCATGAATGTTCTCAATTGTTCAATGTTTGTTTTTATTTTTATTTTTGAAAGTCGGCTACTTTCCAACTGGTTTTAGTCTCCAATGGTGAACGCTCTTTCATCCTGATCAACTATGGTGATATTGCAGAAACAGGACAAGTTTGGCTGGTGAGTGGAGAGAAAATCCTAACACATTTTACAAATAGCAGAAATGAATGACAAGGCATTACTTGTGACCGAATTAAAATGTATAGGCAAGAGATGGCTTAATTGGAATAGGATTTGCTTGAGGCTTTAAATACTCTTTTTTTTACTTTTACAGGCTGGTTATGACACAGTGGACTCTGTCACTTCTTTCACAATTCCAGCGGCCAGTGCCCCAGAACTCTCATCCAGCAGTAATATCAATGTGGATGGTCGCTGGTCTTTCCGTGTTGATAGATCGGTATACTGTAAGCCAAAGAGTTGCCTGTTTGTCTGCAACATGATCCTCAAACTTTTAACCAGTAGCATTTTTGAGCTTATATTCCTTTGGAAGTACTAAAAAATTCACTGGTGCTTATACTTTTCCTTTTGCCAGCTAATTTCCTGCCGTTTGGGGATGGAGACGTAGTAAACCCCATTTCGGATGATGGAAGCTCTGAAGCCATTTTCTTGCAGCAGCCTTTCAAATACTTTGGACGTGTATACAATCAGATCTATGTAAGCATTGGACTTTTTCTTTTTGGTTGAAGATGTTTTTCCATTTAATACATCATCAATTAATTATGCATCAATATTTTTCTCAAATTCTCTTTAGTCAAGAGAGTTTTCTCCTGTTTAAGTGTAAAACTGGATGTTTTTTAACGTCTTTGTAAACTAAATTATACTTTTGACTGGTAGCAGATAATTCTACAGCAATTTGATCTGAATTTTAGGTGAACAACAATGGTCACTTGACATTTACTCAACCACTATCTGCCTACGTCCCTTATCTGAACACTGGAATAGACATCATTGCTCCTCTATGGACTGACCTTAACAATGTAAATGGTGGAACAATCTCCTATAGAGAGGATACAAGCAGTGCTGTACTGGCACAAGTCACTGAAGCTGTTCACCAATATTTCCCTAACGTGCCTTTTACCGCTTCATCAGCCTTTGTGGCTACCTGGGAAAGTGTGCCGTACTACACGGGTGGAGGGGTAAGACCTAATCTCTGATTTTTTATGAATGCTCTGTGTGTTTTTTGGTCATGAATGTTCTCAATTGTTCAATGTTTGTTTTTATTTTTATTTTTGAAAGTCGGCTACTTTCCAACTGGTTTTAGTCTCCAATGGTGATCGCTCTTTCATCCTGATCAACTATGGTGATATTGCAGAAACAGGACAAGTTTGGCTGGTGAGTGGAGAGAAAATCCTAACACATTTTACAAATAGCAGAAATGAATGACAAGGCATTACTTGTGACCGAATTAAAATGTATAGGCAAGAGATGGCTTAATTGGAATAGGATTTGCTTGAGGCTTTAAATACTCTTTTTTTTTACTTTTACAGGCTGGTTATGACACAGTGGACTCTGTCACTTCTTTCACAATTCCAGCGGCCAGTGCCCCAGAACTCTCATCCAGCAGTAATATCAATGTGGATGGTCGCTGGTCTTTCCGCGTTGATAGATCGGCATACTGTAAGCCAAAGAGTTGCCTGTTTGTCTGCAACATGATCCTCAAACTTTTAACCAGTAGCATTTTTGAGCTTATATTCCTTTGGAAGTACTAAAAAATTCACTGGTGCTTATACTTTTCCTTTTGCCAGCTAATTTCCTGCCGTTTGGGGATGGAGACGTAGTAAACCCCATTTCGGATGACGGAAGCTCTGAAGCCATTTTCTTGCAGCAGCCTTTCAAATACTTTGGACGTGTATACAATCAGATCTATGTAAGCATTGGACTTTTTCTTTTTGGTTGTAGATGTTTTTCCATTTAATACATCATCAATTAATTATGCATCAATATTTTTCTCAATTTCTCTTTAGTCAAGAGAGTTTTCTCCTGTTTAAGTGTACAACTGGATGTTTTTTTAACGTGTTTGTAAACTGAATGATACTTTTGACTGGTAGCAGATAATTCTACAGCAATTTGATCTGCATTTTAGGTAAACAACAATGGCCACTTGACATTTACTGAACCACTATCTGCCTACATCCCTTATCTGAACGCTGGAATAGACATCATTGCTCCTCTATGGACTGACCTTTACAATGAAAATAATGGAACGATCTCCTATAGAGAGGATACAAGCAGTGCTGTACTGGCACAAGTCACTGAAGCTGTTCACCAATATTTCCCTAACGTGTCTTTTACCGCTTCATCAGCCTTTGTGGCTACCTGGGACCGTGTCCCGTACATCACTGGTGGAGGGGTAAGACCTAATCTCTGATTTTTGATGAATGCTCTATGTGTGTCTTTAGTTATGAATGTTCTCAATTGTTCAATGTTTGTTTTTTGTTTGATCTTTGAAGTCGGTCACGTTCCAAGTGGTTTTAGCCTCCAATGGGGAACGGTCTTTCATCCTGATCAACTATGGTGATATTGCAGAAACAGGACAAATTTGGCTGGTAAGTGGAGTGAAGATCCTAGCACTTTTTACAAATAGCAGAAATGGCTGACTAGAAATTGCTTATGGTCAAATTCATACCTTACTGATAAGCAAGAGATGGTTTAGTTGGAATAGGATTTGGTTGCAGTTTTAAATACTCTTTTTTACTTTTACAGGCTGGTTATGACACAGTGGACTCTGTCAATTCTTTCACAATTCCAGTGGCCAGTGCCCCAGAACTCTCATCCAGCAGTAATATCAATGTGGAAGGTCGCTGGTCTTTCCATGTTGATAGATCGGCATACTGTAAGCCAAAGAGTTGCCTGTTTTTCTTCAACATGATCCTCAAACTTTTAACCAGTAGCATTTTTGAGGTTATACATTTCTGTGGAAGTACTAAACAATTCACTGGTGCTTATGCTTTTCCTTTTGCCAGCTAATTTCCTGCCGTTTGGGGATGGAGACGTAGTAAACCCCATTTCGGATGATGGAAGCTCTGAAGTCATTTACTTGCAGCAGCCTTTCAAATACTTTGGACGCGTATACAATCAGATCTATGTAAGCATTGGACTTTTTCTTCTTGGTTAAAGATTTTTTTCCTTTTATTACATTATCAATTAATTATGCATCAATATTTGTTATCAAATTCTCTTTAGTCAAGAGAGTTTTCTCTTGTCTAAGTGTACAACTGGATACTTTTAAACGTGTTTGTAAACTAAATTATACTTTTGACTGGTAGCAGATAATTCTACAGCAATTTGATCTGAATTTTAGGTGAACAACAATGGTCACTTGACATTTACTCAACCACTATCTGCCTACATCCCTTATCTGAACACTGGAATAGACATCATTGCTCCTCTATGGACTGACCTTAACAATGTAAATGGTGGAACAATCTCCTATAGAGAGGATACAAGCAGTGCTGTACTGGCACAAGTCACTGAAGCTGTTCACCAATATTTCCCTAACGTGCCTTTTACCGCTTCATCAGCCTTTGTGGCTACCTGGGAAAGTGTGCCGTACTACACGGGTGGAGGGGTAAGACCTAATCTCTGATTTTTTATGAATGCTCTGTGTGTTTTTTGGTCATGAATGTTCTCAATTGTTCAATGTTTGTTTTTATTTTTATTTTTGAAAGTTGGCTACTTTCCAACTGGTTTTAGTCTCCAATGGTGATCGCTCTTTCATCCTGATCAACTATGGTGATATTGCAGAAACAGGACAAGTTTGGCTGGTGAGTGGAGAGAAAATCCTAACACATTTTACAAATAGCAGAAATGAATGACAAGGCATTACTTGTGACCGAATTAAAATGTATAGGCAAGAGATGGCTTAATTGGAATAGGATTTGCTTGAGGCTTTAAATACTCTTTTTTTTACTTTTACAGGCTGGTTATGACACAGTGGACTCTGTCACTTCTTTCACAATTCCAGCGGCCAGTGCCCCAGAACTCTCATCCAGCAGTAATATCAATGTGGATGGTCGCTGGTCTTTCCGCGTTGATAGATCGGCATACTGTAAGCCAAAGAGTTGCCTGTTTGTCTGCAACATGATCCTCAAACTTTTAACCAGTAGCATTTTTGAGCTTATATTCCTTTGGAAGTACTAAAAAATTCACTGGTGCTTATACTTTTCCTTTTGCCAGCTAATTTCCTGCCGTTTGGGGATGGAGACGTAGTAAACCCCATTTCGGATGATGGAAGCTCTGAAGCCATTTTCTTGCAGCAGCCTTTCAAATACTTTGGACGTGTATACAATCAGATCTATGTAAGCATTGGACTTTTTCTTTTTGGTTGTAGATGTTTTTCCATTTAATACATCATCAATTAATTATGCATCAATATTTTTCTCAATTTCTCTTTAGTCAAGAGAGTTTTCTCCTGTTTAAGTGTACAACTGGATGTTTTTTTAACGTGTTTGTAAACTGAATGATACTTTTGACTGGTAGCAGATAATTCTACAGCAATTTGATCTGCATTTTAGGTAAACAACAATGGCCACTTGACATTTACTCAACCACTATCTGCCTACATCCCTTATCTGAACGCTGGAATAGACATCATTGCTCCTCTATGGACTGACCTTTACAATGAAAATAATGGAACGATCTCCTATAGAGAGGATACAAGCAGTGCTGTACTGGCACAAGTCACTGAAGCTGTTCACCAATATTTCCCTAACGTGCCTTTTACCGCTTCATCAGCCTTTGTGGCTACCTGGGACCGTGTCCCGTACATCACTGGTGGAGGGGTAAGACCTAATCTCTGATTTTTGATGAATGCTCTATGTGTGTCTTTAGTTATGAATGTTCTCAATTGTTCAATGTTTGTTTTTTGTTTGATCTTTGAAGTCGGTCACGTTCCAAGTGGTTTTAGCCTCCAATGGGGAACGGTCTTTCATCCTGATCAACTATGGTGATATTGCAGAAACAGGACAAATTTGGCTGGTAAGTGGAGTGAAGATCCTAGCACTTTTTACAAATAGCAGAAATGGCTGACTAGAAATTGCTTATGGTCAAATTCATACCTTACTGATAAGCAAGAGATGGTTTAGTTGGAATAGGATTTGGTTGCAGTTTTAAATACTCTTTTTTACTTTTACAGGCTGGTTATGACACAGTGGACTCTGTCAATTCTTTCACAATTCCAGTGGCCAGTGCCCCAGAACTCTCATCCAGCAGTAATATCAATGTGGAAGGTCGCTGGTCTTTCCATGTTGATAGATCGGCATACTGTAAGCCAAAGAGTTGCCTGTTTTTCTTCAACATGAACCTCAAACTTTTAACCAGTAGCATTTTTGAGGTTATACATTTCTGTGGAAGTACTAAACAATTCACTGGTGCTTATGCTTTTCCTTTTGCCAGCTAATTTCCTGCCGTTTGGGGATGGAGACGTAGTAAACCCCATTTCGGATGATGGAAGCTCTGAAGCCATTTACTTGCAGCAGCCTTTCAAATACTTTGGACGCGTATACAATCAGATCTATGTAAGCATTGGACTTTTTCTTCTTGGTTAAAGATTTTTTTCTTTTTATTACATTATCAATTAATTATGCATCAATATTTGTTATCAAATTCTCTTTAGTCAAGAGAGTTTTCTCTTGTCTAAGTGTACAACTGGATATTTTTAAACGTGTTTGTAAACCGAATGATACTTTTGACTGGTAGCAGATAATTCTACAGTAATTTGATCTGAATTTTAGGTGAACAACAATGGTCACTTGACGTTTACTCAACCACTATCTGCCTACGTCCCTTATCTGAACGCTGGAATAGACATCATTGCTCCTCTATGGACTGACCTTTACAATGTAAATGGTGGAACAATCTCCTATAGAGAGGATTCAAGCAGTGCTGTACTGGCACAAGTCACTGAAGCTGTTCACCAATATTTCCCTAACGTGCCTTTTACCGCTTCATCAGCCTTTGTGGCTACCTGGGACCGTGTCCCGTACATCACTGGTGGAGGGGTAAGACCTAATCTCTGATTTTTGATGAATGCTCTATTTGTGTCTTTAGTTATGAATGTTCTCAATTGTTCAATGCTTGTTTTATCTTTGAAGTCGGTCACTTTCCAAGTGGTTTTAGCCTCCAATGGTGATCGCTCTTTCATCCTGATCAACTATGGTGATATTGCAGAAACAGGACAAGTTTGGCTGGTGAGTGGAGAGAAAATCCTAACACATTTTTACAAATAGCAGAATTGAATGACAAGAAATTACTTGTGACCGAATGAAAATGTATAGGCAAGAGATGGCTTAATTTGAATAGGATTTGCTTGAGGCTTTAAATACTCTTTTTTTTTACTTTTACAGGCTGGTTATGACACAGTGGACTCTGTCACTTCTTTCACAATTCCAGCGGCCAGTGCCCCAGAACTCTCATCCAGCAGTAATATCAATGTGGATGGTCGCTGGTCTTTCCGCGTTGATAGATCGGCATACTGTAAGCCAAAGAGTTGCCTGTTTGTCTGCAACATGATCCTCAAACTTTTAACCAGTAGCATTTTTGAGGTTATACATTTCTGTGGAAGTACTAAACAATTCACTGGTGCTTATGCTTTTCCTTTTGCCAGCTAATTTCCTGCCGTTTGGGGATGGAGACGTAGTAAACCCCATTTCGGATGATGGAAGCTCTGAAGCCATTTACTTGCAGCAGCCTTTCAAATACTTTGGACGTGTATACAATCAGATCTATGTAAGCATTGGACTTTTTCTTCTTGGTTAAAGATTTTTTTCCTTTTATTACATTATCAATTAATTATGCATCAATATTTGTTATCAAATTCTCTTTAGTCAAGAGAGTTTTCTCTTGTCTAAGTGTACAACTGGATATTTTTAAACGTGTTTGTAAACCGAATGATACTTTTGACTGGTAGCAGATAATTCTACAGTAATTTGATCTGAATTTTAGGTGAACAACAATGGTCACTTGACGTTTACTCAACCACTATCTGCCTACGTCCCTTATCTGAACGCTGGAATAGACATCATTGCTCCTCTATGGACTGACCTTTACAATGTAAATGGTGGAACAATCTCCTATAGAGAGGATTCAAGCAGTGCTGTACTGGCACAAGTCACTGAAGCTGTTCACCAATATTTCCCTAACGTGCCTTTTACCGCTTCATCAGCCTTTGTGGCTACCTGGGACCGTGTCCCGTACATCACTGGTGGAGGGGTAAGACCTAATCTCTGATTTTTGATGAATGCTCTATTTGTGTCTTTAGTTATGAATGTTCTCAATTGTTCAATGTTTGTTTTATCTTTGAAGTCGGTCACTTTCCAAGTGGTTTTAGCCTCCAATGGTGATCGCTCTTTCATCCTGATCAACTATGGTGATATTGCAGAAACAGGACAAGTTTGGCTAGTAAGTTGTAAATTTTGTTATTATTAAAAATGATTTTAGTCTCCAAATTTTTCCAGTTAACATATCATATTTCATTCAGGCTGGCTTTGACACAGTGAACTCTTCACACTCGTTTGCCATTTCTACCAGAAAGACTCGGGAGAATAAATACTGTAACAATAAATACATTTATTGATAGCCCAGCAAGCAATAAAGTTCTTTGGCGTAGGCCCCGTCCATAGCTCGCAATCCGAGGGTCCGGACTCTGCATTTCCTGCCTGAAGACGAAGGCAGGGGCGCAGCCGACCCCCTGTGAGGTATAGGAAGGGACCATCCTGGTGGTGGTGGGGAGGATGGAGGGGAAGGGACCATCCTGGTGGTGGTGGGGAGGATGGAGGTGAATGAAAGCGTCAGCATCTGCGAACTCAGACATGTGTAAGTACTGGTCTTTTATACCGCAAGTATTAGACACGATTGGATAGATGAGAAGGTAATAAGTGACGTTGCAATTGAGTCTTCCCGGCAGAACTTAACGCTAAAGCTTCCATTTCATCATTGAGTGCTGCTGAACTGTCATCCAACAGCAATGTCAATGATAACGGTCGTTGGGTTTTCTTTGTTGATGGCAGTCACGATGGTAATGGCTATTATTTTTTCTCTGTTTCAACTCATTTTTTCAATGTGTAAATAATGGTTATAGTCTTCATATATTCTGATATATATACTGATATAATTTAACACATTTGGGTAGGTCAAGATCCAAGTGAATGATAGCTTTCATGTTGTTTTGTGCAATGTTCTTCTTATTTTCTTTTTTAGTTTGTGATACTTGCACTGAAAATGAGGCTTGTCAGGAGAGAAGTGGTGTCAATGGCTGTGCTTGCTTGGATGGACAAAATCCAAATCATGAAATCTATGGTGAGTTCTCTCACAGTTGTTGTGCATTCATGCATTTAACTAAAATCCTTCTTGCATTATTATTATTGTTATGTAGCGGCTGAAGTAGAGGCAAAAGCAGGATCCACGTGCAGCAGTGTTTTATTTAAATAAACTAGAAACTAAACAAATAAAGACTTGGTAACCAGACTCAGGAACAGGACAGCGTGCATACAGCATTACAACAATACGAGAACTCACAAAGACTGGACTGAAACACAGGGCTTAAATACAGGGGCAAAGATCTAAACAGGATAACAAGGGGGCGTGGTTAACGGGAAACACCTGGGAAGACTAATAGACAGACAGGGAACCACTAAACTTGACAAGACAAACCCACACCGTGACATAGCCCCCTCCCTATGGGCGGCTCCTGATGCCCATAACACACCAAAAAGTTCAGGAGGGCGGAGGCGGACTTGGGGGAGGGATGGAGGGCCAGGCCTGCACGGGAAACCGGGGCCATGGAACGTGGGCGGAGCAGGCTGCGCAGGCGACCAGGGCGGAGCAGGACGTGGCGGGCCGTCCTGTGAAGACCCCTCGGGCGGCCGCGAAGACCCCTCGGGCGGCCACGGCGGTGAAGACCCTTCAGGCGGCCGTGGCGGCGAAGACCCCTCGGGCGGCCACGGCGGTGAAGACCCTTCGGGTGGCCATGGTGGTGACGAGCCCTCGGGCGGCCATCTACCTTTTCTGTCAAAGATACTATAAAGGGCAGTATCCTCACAACTATGTTCCTTTTTAGAAAGAAATGGGATCTGCGAGGATTTCCAGTCAGGATTTAGACCGTACCATAGTACTGAGACTGCTATCATTAGTTACAAATGATTTGCTCTTATCATCCGATCATGGTTGTATCTCTCTGTTAGTGTTACTCGATCTTAGTCCTGCATTTGACACTATCGACCACAATATTTTTTTGAATAGACTCGAAAATGATGTTGGTATTAGTGGAATTGCATTGGCACGGTTCAAATCATACCTATCTGACCGTTATCAGTTTGTAGCAGTAAATGAAGAGATGTCATATTGATCAAAAGTTCAGTATGGTGTACCACAAGGCTCAGTTCTAGGACCGTTGCTGTTCACTCTGTACATGCTACCCTTGGGAGATATCATTAGGAAGCATGGCATTAGCTTTCACTGTTATGCTGATGATATTCAGCTCTACATTTCTTCACGCCCTGACGAAACTTACAATTCACAAAAGTAACGGAATGCTTAGCTGATTTAAAAAACTGGATGACTAGTAATTTCCTACTACTTAATTATGAAAAAACAGAGATTCTAATTATTGGACAAAAAACATCCTCACGCAATAACCTAAAATACTGTCTAACACTTGATGGCTGCTCTGTCAAGTCTTCGTCGTCGGTTAGGAACCTGGGTGTGCTCGTTGATACCAATCTTTCATTTGAAGGTCACGTTTCTCATCCTCAAGCCATCCTCGGTGTATATGATTTTGTTCTTTCAGATGAATACAATCAGAGTTAAATTTAACAATGTCCTGGCTCTTCCAAGCTTTACAATGGCAGTGAATGTAGGAATTGATTTTGAAGACCAAAAAAGTGCACCAATCCTTCATAAGGAAGAAACTGACAGGCAAAGTGTGTCAGTACGTAGCCAAAAAAAAAAAAGAAATTAGGGGCTGCCCAAAACCAGAGCCATCATTCAGCTGAAGACACTGGATATCGCCAAAAAGCTGAGCTTACCCACCATCGAAGCCCATCATTTCTTATTTTGGCTACTTACTGACACACTTGTCTGTTAATATCCTCAAACCGGCCGCTTTGATGCGGCATAACGGATTAGCGCTTGCCCTCCAACTTCAGGGAGAAACGTCTCGGTTACGGATGTAACCCTCGTTCCCTGAGTAGGGAACGGAGACGTTCCGTCGGATGACGACGAATGGGGGTTTCGCTTAGAAGCCAATCAACTTCAAATACTTCAAAACGAGCCAATGGCAAAGAATGCCATGGGTCTGCGGAATTTGCATAGCGTAACTCCGCCTCACCTCGTGAGTATATAAGGAGAACGCTGGCAGCAAACCGGCATGTTTCTTCGCTGAGGAGCCAACCTGAGTTCAGGCGATCCCCGCGGTACAGCGGAAGTGGCAGGAAGACGGAACGTCTCCGTTCCCTACTCAGGGAACGAGGGTTACATCCGTAACCGAGACGTTCCCTTTCGTTGTCACTCCGAGTTCCGTCGGATGACGACGAATGGGGATACCAGTCTAATCACGCCATTTCTCAGCTGTCTTCCAGTGCCCTGCGTAAATCTGAGATCCCTGTCGTGAGACTAGCACGGACGAAGGACTCCTATTTAACACAGGAATACCAAGGTACACTGGGGAGCATATCCCAGATCTTAGGGAAGTATGCAATTACTGCCAACCCAGAGGGGGGGACTTAAGAATACACATATGACCCGAGGGATGCATATGGGGAATCACTGGGGTGTCCAGCCGCAGGTGGAATATTTCAACCCCAGGGGTGGCAAGGTGGCTTGCCAAGGGAAAGACACATGCTCAGAGAGGCTTACAGTGGGAATACACATGTGGGGGTAGCTCCGGGAGGTACCATGCACACGGGAGGCACCTAGCCGACGCGCAGGCAAAAGACACTGGCGCCGACGTCAGGAGTGCTGGAGGAACTCAGGGCTTTCGGAGAAGCTCACCTGAGGAGAATATCGCACGTATCCAGTCCGTGGAGTGGAGTGGCGAGCAAGCGAAGACACCTGAGCGGGTCCGGTACTAGCTGGTTGAAGCGAGTACATGAGAGGACACTGGCTCCACTCGGAGATTGTAGAATCTGGCGAATGTGTTAGGTGTCGCCCAGCCTGCAGCTCTGCAGATGTCTGTTAGCGAGGCGCCATGCGCTAGAGCCCAAGAGGATGCCACACTCCGGGTGGAGTGGGCAGTCACACCAAGGGGGCACGGTCGACCTTGCTGCTGGTATGCCAAAGCAATGGCGTCCACTATCCAGTGAGACAACCTTTGCTTGGAGAGAGCCTTTCCCTTCAGCTTCCCACCATAACAGACAAAGAGCTGGTCTGAGGTCCTGAAACACTGCGTTCTGTCTACATAGATGCGAAGAGCACGTACTGGACAGAGCAGTGCCAAGGCTGGGTCTGCCTCCTCCGGGGGCAGCGCTTGTAGGTTCACCACCTGGTCCCGGAAGGGAGTGGTAGGAACCTTGGGCACATATCCAAGCCGGGGTCTCAGGATCACGTGAGAATAGCCCGGCCCGAATTCTAGGCACGCTTCGTCAACGGAGAATGCGTGCAGGTCCCCCACCCTCTTAACGGAGGCCAACGCAGTCAGAAGCGCTGTCTTCATAGATAGGAAGTTTAGCTCGACTGACTGCAAAGGCTCAAAGGGAGCACTACGCAGGGCAGTTAGGACCACTGCGAGGTCCCAAGAGGGTACGAGAGGAGGGCGAGGAGGATTCAGTCTCCTCGCTCCTCTCAGGAACCTGACGATCAGGTCATGCTTCCCCACCGACTTACCTTCTATAAGATCATGCTGTGCGGCAATAGCGGCGACATAGACCTTGAGGGTGGAGGGAGACAGCCTTCGCTCCAACCCCTCTTGAAGGAAGGAAAGCACGACGTTGATCGAACATCTCCGGGGGTCTTCTCGGTGAGAAGAGCACCAGTTGACGAAGAGGTTCCACTTCAACGCATAGAGGTGTCTCGTGGACGACGCTCTAGCGGAAGTGATGGTAGCCGCCACCGCTGGTGGCAGGGTACTCAAACCTGCCTCGTCCCGTCCAGGAGCCACACGTGGAGGTTCCAAAGATCGGGACGAGGGTGCCATAGGGTGCCCCGTCCCTGAGAAAGTAGGTCCTTCCTCAGAGGTATGGGCCAAGGAGGTGCTGTCGCGAGGAGTACAAGTTCGGAGAACCAGGTCCGGGTGGGCCAGTACGGCGCGACCAGAGTGACCTGCTCCTCGTCCTCCCTGACCTTGCGCAGGAGTTGCGCAAGAAGGCTCACTGGGGGAAACGCATATTTGCGGCCCCGCGGCCAGCTGTGCGCCAGAGCATCCGTGCCGAGCGTGCCCTCGGTCAGGGAATAATACTGGGCGCAATGGGTCGAGTCGTGAGAGGCAAACAGATCTATCTGTGCGTCCCCGAACTGGTCCCAAATCAGCTGAACCGTCTGGGGATGGAGTCGCCAATCTCCGGGGAGGGGCTGAAGCCGTGACAGCTCGTCGGCTGCACAGTTCAGGGCTCCAGGGATGAAAATGGCTCGAAGCGACCTCAGATGCTTCCGACTCCATAAGAGGAGGTGGCGGGCGAGTTGCGACATACGGCGGGAGCGCAGACCACCTTGACGGTTGATGTACGCTACGGTCGCGGTATTGTCTGATCGGACTAGTACATGCTGGCCCGAGAGCACGGCTCGGAAGCGGCGCAGGGCGAGCTGTACAGCCAGCAACTCGAGGCAATTGATGTGCCATAAGCGGTGGGGTCCTGTCCAGGAGCCCGCGGCAGCACGTCCATTGCACATGGCACCCCAGCCCGTGGTGGAGGCATCTGTCGTTACAACAACATGCCGGGAAGCTCGTTCCAGAGGCACTCCTGCCCGTAGAAAGCTGAGGTTCCCCCACGGGGTGAAGGTCTGACGGCAGGTCGGAGTAACTGGTACTCGGAGCGTGCCGTGTTGCCATGCCCACCTCGGGACTCGGTCGCGAAGCCAAAGCTGAAGCGGTCTCATATGAAGCAATCCGAGCGGCGTTGCCGCGGCTGCAGATGCCATATGCCCCAGGAGCCTCTGAAAAAGTTTCAGTGGAACCGCACTCTTGCCCTCGAACTGTCTCAGGCAAGTCAGCAGTGACTGCGCGCGCTCGCTCGTAAGCTGCGCGGACATGGCGACCGAGTCGATCTCCATACCGAGAAAAGAGATCCTCTGCGCGGGGCAAAGTTTGCTCTTCTCCCAGTTGACCCGAAGGCCCAAACGGGCTACATGGCGGAGTACCAAATCCCTGTGTTCGCAAAGCTGATCTCGAGAGTGAGCTAGAATCAGCCAGTCGTCGAGATAGTTCAGAATGCGAACCCCGTGTTCCCGGAGGGGAACAAGGGCTGCCTCGACGACCTTCGTGAAGACGCGAGGGGACAGGGCTAGCCCGAATGGGAGAACTGCGTACTGATATGCCTGTCCCTCGAAAGCAAACCGTAGGAACGGTCTGTGTCGAGGGAGAATGGAGACATGAAAGTAGGCGTCCTTCAGGTCGATCGCTGCAAACCAATCCTGGTGCCGCACACATTCGAAAACGCGTTTGGCGGTGAGCATCTTGAACGGCAGCCTGTGAAGGGAGCGGTTCAATACGCGCAGGTCCAGGATTGGCCGTAACCCACCGGTTTTCTTCGGGACAATGAAGTAGGGGCTGTAAAACCCGGACCTCATTTCGGCTGGAGGGACAGTCTCGATCGCACCCTTCGCCAGCAGGGTAGCAACCTCCGCTCTCATGATAGGGGCATTGCCACCGACCAAAGTGGAGTGGACTCCCCTGAAGCGGGGAGGAGACCGCGCGAACTGAATCGCGTAGCCGAGCCTGATCGTTCGTGCGACCCAGCGGGACAGGTTGGGAAGCTCTAACCAAGCTCCCAAGGACTGCACCAGCGGGGTCATGCGAACCACAGACTTCCCGTCGGTGGGGCAGCGAGGCGGTATGACTGACCCAGACGTGGACGGCATAGCGGCCCGATGTGGGGGTGCAGTCATGAACCGCGCCCTGACAGAGGAGACCAGGGAAGGACGAACGTTCCACGGGGGTCTGCTCTGCCAGGGGTCTGGCGACAGAGGGGGATGAGAGTGGTGCGGTCCGGGGACGGCACGCACTGTCATCCGGCTCTGGGACAGAGGAGGACGAGGGGTGCACGGCCCGGGGGCGGCGCACCGTGTCGTCCAAGAACTCTGTATGCTCAGGGATGAATGTGTCACTTCTCTCAAGATTCTCCCCCGGCCCTCCACCGGGGGAAGGAGTGGTCCTGCTACCACCTCCTGAGAAGTGTACATCATCCCTGAGCAGCCCGTCTCAGGAGCGCCGCTTGACCCGGCATTTAGCGGGGGGCGGGACTGGAGAGGGCTGGGGCGCCTTCCTACGGCCTCCTCCGCGACCGGGCCCGGGTGAAGGCTGCTGCTTGGGCCGGGCGGGAGGGGTGGGAGCCGTAGGAGGGCGCCCTCGGCGGGAAACAGACTGAGTATTCTGCCCGGTCGGCTGAGTGGAGGCAGCAGCGGGCCGTCGGGGCAGAATGTGCTTAATAGCCTCAGTCTGTTTCTGGGCAGTCGAGAACTGTTGGGCAAAATCCTCGACTGCACCGCCGAAAAGGCCATCTTGCGATATGGGGGTGTCGAGCAGCCGGGACCGCTCGGCATCCTCCACATCAGCAAGATTAAGCCAGAGGTGTCTCTCCTGGACCACGGCTGTGGACATCACCAAACCCAGGGAGCGTGCGGTCACCTTCGTCGCTCGGAGAGCAAGGTCGGTGGCGGCGCGCAGCTCATTGAAGAGCCCCGGGTCTGTCCTGCCCTCGTGCATGTCCCTGAGCATCTGGGCCTGGTAGACCTGCAGAATGGCCATGGCATGCAAAGAGGCGGCTGCCTGTCCCGCAGCTCTGTAGGACTTCGCCACTAACGCAGACGCGCAACAAAGCGTTCAACCGGGGGGAGCCCAGTGTACCCACGGGCAGCGGCCTCATCGAGGGGAGGAAAGGCGGATGAAATCATCGAGCGGTCGCGGGAAGACATGGGAGTCTTCCAGGACTTCGAGATTTCATCATGCACGTCCGGGAAGAAAGGTATCGGGGCCTGACGGGGACGGGGATCCGCAGCCTGACCCAAATACCAATCATCCAGCCGCGAGCGCTCGGGGCAGGGCGGAGGGTTCCACTCTAACCCGATGCTCGCGGCGGCTCGAGACAGCATGGCCGTCATCTCTGGATCTGACTCTGGCACAACTGTAGTCACACCCGAAGGCGGCAGCTGTGATGAGTCTTCACTTCCAGCAGACTCAGACCCACCTTGTGATGCTGCAATAGACATGGCATCTTCCTCTGGAGCGCCAAAGGAAACCCGCGGGACACCCGAAGATGATCTCGCCGGAATCCCCTGAACACTCACGGGTTGCAGCATTGGAGAGGGTGCGGCTGGGCACGGACTGATAGTCGGCGCTTGGTTCCAAACCGTCACCCTCAGATCACCCTGGCCACCAGCCGAAGTACTAGCTCTATTTCTAGAGTCAGTAGATCGGGGTGTGGATGAGGGGACCCTCACTCTTGCGAGATCACCGAGTCTTGACCGTAATGCTGCGATGGTCATGTTCCCACAGAGAGAACATGAGTCATCCACGAGTGCTGCTCTAGCGTGATCAATGCCCAAACACACTATGCAGCACCCGTGCCCATCAGAGTCGTCAACCAGCCTACCGCAACCAGAAGTGCACGGGCGAGGCATCTTTAAAAAGACGTGCCACGTGCAAGCTCTTTTGTGAGAAAAAGAAACCTGATTGTGTTGAAGCGCTCGGGGAGAAACACACTCGCTGTCGAACCACAGACAGATAAGCAGGAAGTGCGCGCTCGCCGAAGATCGCCGTCACACCAACACCAGAGAATCTTGCTCGTTTGAAGAACTGACAATTTCAGGAATGGCTTGTGGAACGAAGGATTAACTTGGCTCCAAAGCGAAAACATGCCGGTTTGCTGCCAGCGTTCTCCTTATATACTCACGAGGTGAGGCGGAGTTACGCTATGCAAATTCCGCAGACCCATGGCATTCTTTGCCATTGGCTCGTTTTGAAGTATTTGAAGTTGATTGGCTTCTAAGCGAAACCCCCATTCGTCGTCATCCGACGGAACTCGGAGTGACAACGAAAGGGAACTGCTGTCTTTTCAGCGCTGTGATCGGCCTAAGGAAAAAACATTCATATCCCCTGGATCAGATAGGTAATGTTGATCAAACACCTGTGTTTTTTGACTTGCCAACATCTGTCACTATACATAAAAAGGTGAGAAATCAGACATAGTGAAACCTACTGGATATGAGAACTTCAGGTTATTTTTATGGTAGCTATGCCATAAAGTGTTTATTTCTGAATGTCATGGTTGTTGGTACATTTTACCAGTATTTACTCTAAATACAAAAAAAAAAAAAAAAAAAAATTAAATATGAAAAATATGCTAAGTATTTTCTTTAAAAGACAAGATTTGGTCTTCAAAAAGCCTTTTCGTCTTATATTCGGAACAATACGGTATTATTATTATTAGCTTCCTGTCTGCTCTCCTTTCTGTCCTGTATAAATACAGGCAAAAACACCAACAAAAATAAATCTTAAAAAATATCTCTGTTGAATGCTTTATCTGCTCAGATGCTGTGGAGTCTTGCGCCAGCAGCACTGGGTCCATGTCTTTGTCCCGCTGCCAGCTCTTTGAATCTGGTTTTACTCCTGAGACCCTGCACTTAAATGATCCAAGCTGCCAAGGAACCCTTGAGCATGGCAGACTTGTATTTCAATTTGACAATGAAGGCCACATATGTGGTACCATTCTGATGGTAATGATCTTTCCATTTCTGTTTCATCACTAGAGCTGTAGAGATGTGTAAATGATTAGTAAATTGTCATTGAGCTTGAGATTGACATTTGTCCATGTCCTCACAGAGCAACAGGACTCACTTCATCTACCAAAACTCCATTCAGTCTAACTTAAGAAGCACTGGCCAGAGCATCATTTCAAGAGAGAGGTGGCTGAACATTACATTTTCTTGTGCGTATCCTCTGATCCAGACCCTATCTATGCCCATGGGTATCCAAGCTGAAGGCGGGTAAGGGTACTCAATACCTTCTGTGTATAAGCGTGTAGTATTATGAAAATGAATAGTTTTTTTATTACGGTTAATGAGGCAAATCACTATTGCAATTTAGGAAATCTTCATGTTTTTAACTGTTTGGATTGACTTCATTCAATTTCCAATATTTTACTTGTCTGTCTAGAACATGAAAGAGACTGATTTTTACCTACTCAACTCAATAAAATCAATGACCTCATTTAGGTCTTTCCAGAGAATTTCCACCTGATTCAACATGGGTTAAGAATTTTGATCAATGTTACAGTGGTTATAAAACAGGTTGCAGCCTTAGTAAGTCTGTAGTTATCCTTGTCTTATGTTGTGTCAGTGCCTAAGGCTCAGAGCTGGTAAGCGAACGGTTGGTGGTTTGAATCTAGTCAGAGTCATCAGCTATCAATGTGAGCTATCACCATTACCATTTACTTAAGTAAGTCATGGTTGCTAATATTTTAAAAAAAATTGCCCACAGTGAGATGAGTCTGGAGCTTCCTGCTGGCCAGGGCACATACCGGATCCGCATGATTCCCTACCATGATGCACAGTTTACTAGCCCATTTGATGGGGAGGTGGAAATACAGGTGAACCAGCAGATGTATGTGGCTGTTGAGGTGGATGGAGTGGATAGAAATCAAATTGCAACGGTTCTAGACAACTGCTGGGCCACACCTGTTAATGATATTGACTATCATATACGCTGGAGTCTAATTACTAGAGAGTGAGTGACTTGATGGTTAAATTACTAAATTTGTTGTAATCTCAGAAAGTTAATACTACCAAATTGGGTAACACTTTATTTCAATGGTACACTTAAACATTCTACTAATTATAAAGTAACTTTGCAACTACATGTCAACTAACTTTCATTTGAGTATTAGTAAACTGTAGTAGACTGTTAGGTTAGTAGAATAAGTTGACATGCATTTTCAAAGTTACTTACAGTCAATAGAATGACTGTTGGGCGACCATTAAAAAAGGGTTTGCAGATATTAAGGAGACAATCTACTAATACTCTAATGAGAGTTAGTTAACATGCAATCGCAAAGTTACTTAATAGTAGAATGTCGAAAGTGGACCATTAAAATAAAATGTTACCCAAAATGTTTGTACCATATGTTTGGTTATGACCAAATACTTGGAGCCTACATTCAAATCTTACCATGCTATACTTTTTTTTTTCTTTATTGTCTTCTTTACTCTCTTCCTAGATGCCCCAACCCTGAAGATGGCACAGTGGAGGTTCTTCAGAATGGTGTTGATACGACAAGCCATTTCTCCTTCAGGATGTTCACCTTCTCAGGAATCTCTGACCGCATCTTCCTGCACTGTCAGGTTCATCTCTGCCTTGTACAGAATGGCAGATGTGCACTGGTATGTTTGGACAGTATTTTTGAATGGTCCATCCACTGCATTATTTTTACAGAAGCCTTCAAGTAAATTATGAACCTTTTATGAAAGATCTGTTTAAAAGAAAACACATTCAACAGCCTTTGCATTGTAGAAGTCAATGATAAATGTATTTTCTTGTCTGTCATTTTCAGTCCTGCGACCCTGGATATAGACGCAGAAAGCGCAGATCTTTGGATTTCCATCACTCTTCTGCGATCACCATGGGTCTTTAACAAAGCTCAATAACCATGATGAATGAAAGATCCTTCATTTATATCAAAATACTTTGTGTGAATGATCTAAATATGAGATTTCTAAATATGAATTTGAAAGCACTTCCTTGTCTTTAAACATCAAATCAGAGATATTTTAAATAAACATATCACCAATGAATACCAACTGCTAGGTGAAAAGGGACTTTCGGAAAACTACTAAATCTAACCCAGACGTTGATGCACAGAAAAACAAAATCTCTGTAATAACAATTCATTAACTATTCATGTAATGTTTTATTGTTAAAGAGGAAGTGTTATTCAAATACAAAACTAAATTCTTCTAGATTATTGGATGGGTATGACTAAAATGTACCATGTATGGTACATTTACTGTTAGTTTAATTAATGGAATTAAATGAATGAATTAGCTTTCTGTCTTTCTCTTTGTTCAAGGAGTAATTTTGGAAACAATAGACCAGACTATCCTTGAATAAACCTGCTTAGCAATGAAGAAAATACTTTGTGGTATTTTGTTTTTTCATAAAGCTTAGTTTTATGTTGTTGTTTTTCTCATGTTTAGAGTGAATTCAATTTAATGAGTGTTACTACCAGAGTATGAAGTATTGCAGAGAATGAATAGTATTGCACTCAAAGGTAATACATCTATTCATAAAATGTAACAATGGTAGTTCAGATATAGCCAGAACAATACTATTTACTGTACTACTCTGCTTAGTTAATGGAAGTTATACCCATAAGAGACAGATATTGTTACGGATGACCTGGATTATTGTTACAGGAGAGGAAGGTGGATGGTGAACAGTGATTTATTGAATAACAAAGGTGCAGGGATGAGGTGAGCAGGGTAGTGGAGTCCAAAGGGTGATCTTGGCGGAGACACAGAGGGAAGGAAGACGCTGGAGACAGCGAGATCGCTGGAGACAAAGGGGAAGAGTCCACATACATCAAACCAGGTCGGACAATGAACTGTGGTGAGGAGTGTGCCTTTGTAGTGGCAGTGATGAGGGTGATGTGATTGCAAACGTGCAGGTGTTTGTGATTGGAGATGAAGTGCTGGTGGGGACCAGGAGCGATGCTGGGAAGTGTAGTGCAGAGGATGGTGGCTAGGTGGAAATGTGACAAATATAAGTTGTAAGTATGGTGACCTAAAAGGGATATGTTCAGATCACTTAGTTTGGTCATGGCCATGACATATTGGCTGCGTCCGAAAGCTTAGGCAGCTGACTTATTGCTTTGCTGCTTTATCAGGCAGTGACTTAGCAGGGAGCGTTTGCGCATGTAGGTACCTCACAAAACTGATTTCGGACAGGTTTCTGAGGCAGAGTAACGGTTTAATGATCGCCAGCAAAATAGAGAATGCTTTTGTGACAACTAAGCGAATAATTACTATAATAGTAATTTCTTGCTAGGGACTGTTCGTTATTTATTTAAGGGGCCACCGGAGGAGATTTGAGATCTGTAGTCAAAAAAGACTTGACCCTCCCTTCGCCAGCAATAATTTTTTCTATGACCCACCAAAATGATTGTGAAAAAAGGCATGACCCTCCCCGATAATTTATTAATTACTTTTGTACTGGTTTTGGCAAAGATGTTCAGATAGCCATTCCACGATAAACGACTAAACTCCTGCATTCTCATCTTGCGGCTGTAACGACAGACCAAACCTACAATTCGGTTCGTATCACGATTTTTGATAAAAAAAAAAATAAAAAAAAATCATATTTTCGGTGCTGATGCCGTGGTGACGCGTTCATGGTAAAATGTAAGGGTGGCGCTGCCAATACAGTATTTTAAAGCTGCCACAAAGAACCGGCAAAAGTAATGATTATGAATAATTTCAAGGGGACATTTTAATTGTTTATTAATAAACAAGTCTTTGTCAGTGTGGCTGCAAATATAAAGGTGATGATGCTGACTCGCGATCTTCGCAGTAGTGAACTCGCCAGAGAGAAATGCACATTTACAGATTACAGAAGCAGAGTCTGTAGTCTGTTTTCTTTCGTTTTGAATTATTCTGTTAAAAAGTAGACATGTCAAGCTTTCTATATATTTATCTGTAAAAGTTTTAAAGTCACTTTCAGAGCGGTCATGTCCGTAACGGAGAACTGTCACGTCAGTAAAAAAAAAAATTCCCTCATAAATGCAAACACGAAAAAAATAAAAAGAATATTTTTTGTTATTAACAGTCTCAAACCAGGACAATTCGATGATTGTTGTGGTTATGTCTTATTTCGACATAGGCTATGTGTGCTGCATGCAACAATCAAGATGTGCATTTGTAAATCCAGCTATTTTTGCTTCTTATTAATTAAATCCAGGAAAATTGTTTGATGAAAAATTGATTAAAATTAACATAGAATTTATACAAAACGAAATTCACTTTAAAGAAAGGCTTTCTACAAAACAACACTTAATGAAGTGGTCAAAATCATGTCTGGCCATGTCTCCCGATATATTGCGTATAGGCTATACTTTTCATAATAAACAGATGAAAAAAAACATTATAATAAATATGAAACTAAATACGCTTATTATGGCTACAACACATAGGCTACAGACTCTATTTGTACATATTGCTGCACATTCATTTAATTCAGAATTTTGCACACAAGTTGAAAGGCATTTGTTTGTGCATAGTAAAACATATCTGCAACATTTATCAAGTTCACTGATAATTGTGCGTGCATTTATTAATCAATATGATACTAAAATCATAATAAAGTAGTAGGGTTCCCTTTCAATAGTCCAAATTCACGGTGGCGTTGCCATTCTTTCTTCTGTGGATTTCTTCAGCTCCTGATTGGTCAAATTCAGATAGATCGACAAATCGGCTCATTCAACTGCACAGCGCACACACCTCACGAATTCAAGCCTACAGCTCCCGAACTTTTTAGACATGTTTAAAAATTATCGTGAGGTCGAGAGGTTCGGCTCGGCTCGTATCTTCCTAGCACACACGAGCCGCAACATGCGAGCACAACCGATTTCCACGCGATTTCTCCCGAGTGAAAAAAATCATCTGCGAGCTCGTAAAACAGCAAAAAATCGCACCGTGTAAGCCCGCCTTAATGGAGTATGAATATATAAACAGACGTTTCAGTATTAAATGCATTTTCTGAGAATTTATATTTCAAGTTTTGACTGCAAATGTCACATCCATGATGCTGGAATTGCCCAATTTTAAAGAATTTATCCTCAACAAGTTTTTTGGTGTAAGTCTACGTATTTTATTATGTTAACTTCAAATAATACGAATAGTAATTTAAAAATGTGGTAGCCCTATGTCCAACACATCACACTCCACTGTTATTGTGGCAATTTCAGTAGATTTGCTCACTAACATTGTTGTGGAAACACAATAAGAATGGAAACTAAAATAGTATCGTCCTACAGCGCACATCAGCTGCAGTTCTGGCGCCTCAGTCCCATTAAAACTCGACGTACATTCACATCACATGTTAATGCAGCGGTAGACTAGCACTCACAGGACACTGCACTTATTCGCAATCCCAAAAGTTCATTATTTGCTCGTGCTTTAAAGCTTTGCCGGGTAAACATTTCATTGGCGTTCTGTTCTAATGCACTTTTTTCTGAGCGTGTAGCCTACTGAAGCGCGCGCGCACTGTCAGACAGCGCCAAACTGGATTTTTGTTGGGTCAGACCCATCTGATAGCGATGGGGGGCCGAGACCGAGAGAGCTGTAGCTACATGGAAAGAAATATGCACCAGACAAGCCATTTTGAAATTTAGCTGTTTTGATGAATACAAAAGTTGGGTGACCCTCCCCTATAGACTAAACAAAGTTGGATGACCCTCCCCTAAACAAAGTTGGATGACCCTCCCCTCAACAAAGAATAAAAAGACATGACCCTCCCCTATTTTCCTCCGGTGGCCCTTTCCATAAATACCGAACGGTCCCCTAGAAATAAGATCGAAAGTGCAAAATTTTGGCCCAAAAAAAACGTACATTTACAAATAAACTGAACACTAACCACAACTTTCAGATGCCATCTTTATTTTTTAGCTAAACTTTCACAGGATGGAATGCACAGGATTGTGGGATTTCAAAGACAGCATAGGAAACATCTATGCTGCCTTCAAAAATTGATCAGATGAAGGTATCTCAGATGTGAATGGCATTCTTTATCTTATAGCCACACATTTAATGCATAACCAAACTTGCAAGACCATAGAAACCTGGGGATGATCATAAATAAAGATTTATACATTTACTTTTTATTTTTAATTAAGAATGACAAAGACATGGCTATTTTACATTATAATATATTTAGGGTTGTCAATAGATTACTTTTTTTAAATCTCGATTAATCGGACCGTTTTGTGCGATTAATCGCATACTTATCGTGAAATTAAGCATACATCATTAATCTTGTTTAATGCATTTTTGTCATCAGTTGCTACATCCAGCAAAGTAAACTATCAGTTTGAAGGATAATTCTCAAAAAATGTCTCAGGTTACGAATGTAATCATGGTTACCAGAGAAGGGTAACGAGACACTGTGTCCGAAGACACTGTGTCCGAAGACACTTTGGGGAACGCCTCCAGAGTGACCGGTGTCTGAAGTACATGATTCAAATGTGACAATTACATTAGAGTAACATCATGGGGTGTCGCAGTCCAGAGTGACAGTGAGTATAAAAGGGCACCAATAGAGTATACGTTATGAGCATTTTTGTCTAAGAGACATGACTAGGTATGCCCGAAGCATGGTAGCGAGACGCAGTGTCTTGTTCCTATTCTCAGGGAACCATGGTTACATGCGTAACTTAAGACGTTCCCTTTCGAATGGGGAACTTGCACTGCGTCCGAAGACACGTTTGTGAACGAGTACCCAGTTCGCCATGCTGAGGTAATTACAGTGGTTACTCAACCAGAATAATACGGATACGGATCTGTATTTGCTGCCTTTTACCGCTAAGAGGCGCTACAATCACAGACTTTGAAAGGTGTCCGTTTGTTCTCTCTATTGCGTAATCTAACGCCGCGGCTCATTCAGAGCTATTGAAAGCTGGTAACAGATGAATTCAAGTGAAACATAAACTAATTCATAATCACAATACTGAAATTAAATTGAACAAATAGTGAAAACATTACAACATAAAACATTGCAACAGAATATATATTAGGCTATCAATGGGGCTAAGGAAGAGCATAAGACGAAATTGAATAGCGTTCAGACGGTAGCTCAGTGGTTAAAGCAACATCATGAGTCTCACTGCGCTTCAAGTGTTTCGAGATCGAATCTTTTCTGTTGGCCGACTTCATTTATGTTTCACCGTTCTTGATGCTTAAATAGGTAACTGTTTATTAGTGAGTTCACTAACTGTTTATTTATTTAATG